GGCCCCCAGGCGGGCCCCCAGGGGGGGCCCCAAGGGGGGCCCCAGGGGGGGCCCCAGGGGGGGCCAGGGGCGGCACCGGGGGAGGGACAGGCGGGAGGCGTGGGGGGGGCCCCCCGGGGGGGGGCCCCCGTGGGGGTCCCCGAAATTGCTGCTCTGGGGTTTACGCCGAAGGCCCTTGCAGGTATTAAGGAGAAAATAAACTGTCTCCTTAGAGAGCAGGAGAGACTAAAGGAGACACTTCACAGACTCAAAACTAACCCCGACAGTTATGAGGGGGAAGAGCTGCAGCTGGAGTGGATGGAGGAGACACACGCCACGAGCAGAAGCAGCGGCAGCAGCAGCAGCAGCAGCAGCAGCAGCAGGAGGCGGACGCGCGCGGAGACCGAGGAGGAGACACCCAAGGAGACAGAGGAGACAGAGACACCCCAGCTCCAGAGACACTCCAGCAGCAGACCCTCAGTTGGCGAATTCAGGTGAGACATTCAACTGCTGCTGCTGCTCGTTTTGCTGCTGCTGCTGTTGTTCCCTTCGCTGCAGCAGCAGCTGCTGCTGCTGCTGCTCGGTGTTTGTGCTGCAGCAACAGCTCTTCAGACGAAGAAGCACAAGGCAAACCAATAACTCTTTTGGGGGCAGACGCGGAGGCTTGGATAGAAGGGGACTGGGACTAAACCCTAAACCCTAAACCCTAGGCTTAGGGTTGCTGTTAGATGTGCGCTCCCGCCACTAGGCAGCGCGCCTTGGTCTTACAAGGACTCATTTCCGAAAGCCTCCAAACCCTAAACCCTAAACCCTAGCAGGGTGTGTGTCTGCCCGCCCGTGGTAGACTTTGCTGCTGCTACTGCTGCTGCTGCTGCTGCTGCCGGAACTGTCTCTGCCAAGTGCTGCGGCTGGGCACCTGTGCCTCCTCGAGGGTTTAGGCTCATCTAGGGTTTAGGGTTTAGGGTTTGCGCTGCTGCTGCTGCTGCTGTGCGTCTCTTCTTGGGGCTGTCTCGGGCGCCCCTCGGAAAGGAGATAAAAAGGTTTGGAAAAATAAATTTGAATTAAATAAATGAGTTTGAATAAATGAATTTTAATTGAATAAATGAATTTAAATTGAATAAATAAGTTGAAATTGAAATAAATAAATTCGAAATTAAATAAAGAGCAAGAGACCTACGGCTGCTGCGCTGTCTCCTTTCGAGGGCTCAGCGGCTGCCTGCAGCTTCCTCGGCCTCTGCTGCTGCTGCTGCTGCTTCTTCGCCCTGCGGGCCAGCAGCAGCAGCAGCAGCAGTTGCTGCTGCTGCTGCAGCAGGGGGCTCGGCTGCTGTTGCTGCAGAGTCGGGCGAGGCGTTCGGCGACGGCGCTGCTGCTGCAGCAGCAGCAGCAGCAGCAGCAGTGTCTGCAGCAGCGGCGTCCGCAGCAGCAGCAGCAGGCGCGGGAGACCGCGCGTCCTGCGGCGCAGCCCCCCCCCCTGCTGCTGCTGCTGCTGCTGCTGCTGCAGCAGAGTCCCCGCAGCTGCAAATGCTCGTGGAATGCCAAGAAGCAACCACGAGGGCCCCCACTACAAAAGAGGGTACTAAAACTGCAACTAAAATTTTCCAAGTTTGGAAGTCCGCCTTTCCGGGGGGCCCCTCCTCCGCCGCCGCCCCCTGAGCAAAAGCATGCACTTGCGCATGCATGCATGCATGCATGCGGGCTGCATGCGCGCATGCAGCCCCGAAATGCATGCAGCCACTGGCGCATGCATGCGTGCATGCAGCTCCAAAACGCATGCGAATGCAAAAGAAAGCCACAACATGCATGCAAGCAGCGGCGAACGCATGCAAACGTGCAGACAGCCCCAAAACGCATGCACGCAACAGCAGCAAACCCATGCAGGCAGCAACAGCAAATGCATGCAGGCAGCAGCAGCAAACGCATGCAGGCAGCAACAGCAAACGCATGCAAAGACTCCGAAAAGAGACACAAGGAGACACAGAAGCAGCAGAAGGAGACAACAACAGAAAGAGACAAGGAGACAAGCAGCAAAGGGGCCAAAAGGACACTCCGGAGGAGAGCAGCAGCAGCAGCAGCAGCAGCAGCCGCAAAAAGGGAAAGCCGCAGCGAAGGAAACAGGAGACAGCCGGAGACAATTCGGAGACACTCCGAGACGAATGGAGACAGTCAAATATCACTAAAAGAAGTGGAAACAGTTGGAGACAGTCGAAAGAATTAAACAGTTGGAGACAATTAAAAGAATTTAAAATAGTTGGAGACAATTGAAGAGATTTGGAGACAGTTGGAGACAATCAAGGAGATTTGGAGACAGTTAAAAGAATTAAAAACAGTTGGAGACAATTAAAGAAACTTGGAGACAACTGAAAGAATTAAAGGCAGTTGGAGACAATTAAAAGGATTTGGAGACAGTTGGAGACAGTTGAAAGAATTGGAAATTGTTTCTGGAGACACTTGGAAAGAGTTGAAGAGAAGTGAAGAGATTTGGAGACAGTCGGAGACAACAGGAGACGCCTGGAGATAATTAAAAATAATTAAAAACAATTAAAAACAATTAAAAACATTTAAGGACAACTGAAGATAATTAAAGAGAATTAAAGGAAATTAAATACAATTAAATACAGTTAAAGACAATTAGAGACACTTGTAGACAAGTGGAGACAACTAGAGACAATTCGAGACAATTCGAGACAATTCGAGACAATTAGAAACAATTAGAGACAATTAGAGACACTACTAAAGCCACTGTTAAAGACAATATTAAAGGCAATTAAAGTAGAGACAATAAAAGACAATAAGAGACAATTAAAAATAATAAGAGACAATTAAAGACAAAAAGAGACAATTAGGGACAGTCAGAGACAATCGAAAAACACACGGAGACATTTGGAGACACTAAACCCTACAAACAATTAGACGCACCCAAAGGCACTCGGAGATATTTGGAGACACCCAGAGATATTTAGAGACACATAAGGACACTTTGAAACATTTAGAGACACTTAAAGACATTTAGAGATATTTAGAGACACTGAAAGATAGCTACAGACACTTACTGGCACTTGGAGACACTTACAGACATTTGGAGACACTTAGAAACGCTTGGAGACACTTAGGGACACTTGAAGACACTTGGGGACACTTAAAGAGACACTTAAGGAGACTCGGAGGCGCTTAAAGACAGACAGAGACACCTAGAGGCGTTTGGAGACGTTTAGAGACACTTGGAGACACTTGAAGACACTTGGAGACAGCGAGAGACACTTGGAGACACCACGAGACAGCTCGAGACTGTTGGCGAGACTCAGAGGCTCGGAGACAGTTCTTAGCGCTGTCTCCAAGCTGCCAAGAGCCGGAGTCTCTGGAGATAGCAAAGGAGACAGAAAGGAGGCAGAAAGGAGACAGCCAAAGAGAGACACCAAAGGAGACAGAAAGGAGACAGAAAGGAGACAGAGGGGAGACAGAAAGGAGACAGAAGGGAGACAGAAAGGAGACAGCAAAGGAGCCAACAAAGGGGACGGAAAGGAGACAGCAAAGGTGCCAGCGAAGGAGACAGCCAAAGAGACACAGCAAAGGGGACACCAAAAGAGAGCCAAAGAGAGACAGCAAAGGAGACAGGGAAGGAGACAGAAAGATGCCAACAAAGGAGCCAGAAAGGAGCCAGCAAAAGAGAAAGCAAAGGAGCCAGAAAGAGACAAAAGGAGACAAAAGGAGACAGGAGGAGACAGGAGGAGACAAAAGGAGACAGAAGAGAACAAAAGGAGACAGGAGGAGACAGGAGGAGACAGGAGGAGACAAAAGGAGACAGAAGAGAACAAAAGGAGACAGGAGGAGACAGAAGGAGACAGGGCGCGGACCTTGTTGGGAGTCTCCTCGGGCTGCTGCTGGGTCTGGCAAAGGACGACGCGGGCGGGGCCCCACACGTGGCGGTGCTGGTCTCCAATGCGCTGGTTGATGAGCAGCGCAGCAGCAGCAGCAGAGTAGGGCTCTGTCTCCTTGTGTTCGCTGAGAAAAAGGGGACTCAAGAAGTAGGCGGGGGGGTAGCGGCCGCGCGGAGACACCAACGGAGACAGTGTCTCCTTGTGGGGCCGCTGCACGGCCAGCTCGTGCACGCCGCGGATCGCGATGTGCACCAAAATGCGACTGTCTCCTAACTGCAGCTCTGCTGCGCGCCGCTGCTGCAGCGAAAGCCCCACTCCGAACTCCCGCGTCTTCAGCAGCGTTGCTGCGCCTGTCCCCGAGGAGACTCTTCGACAAGTCCCCTGCAGGATCACGCGGCTCGCGTCCATGTACTTCCGCGTCGGGAACCTGCCGCACGCACGCAGCCGCACGCAACTGCATGCACAACGCATGCAGCGCGCATGCAGCAGCGCGCATGCAGCAGCCCGCATGCATGCAGCGCGCATGCAGCGCGCATGCAGCGCGCATGCAGCGCGCGTGCACACGCCCGCCAGGGGCTTCCGCGCAGGTGCTGACGAAGCAAATGGCTTGCAGCCCGACGCGCAGCTGCCCCGTCAACGCGTGCATGCATGCATGCACCCTGCGTGCATGCGCGCATGCATGCGCGCATGCATGCGCGCATGCATGCATGCAGGGTGCATGCGTGGAGTTCTCACGGCATTTCTCCGCTGGAGGCGTTGAGGATGATCGAGTCGTGGGGACTGTAGTCGTCCTGCGGGAAGTAGGAGCTGCTCGCAGCTGTCTCCTTGTCTCCTTCTGCAGCAATCAGCTGCACTATTTGCTGCGGGAAGCTGCGGATGTCGAGGGCCGAACCTTCTATGGACATTTCAATCAGCATTTGCACGTCCCGGTCGTGCAGGGGGCCCCCGGGGCCCCCGGGGGGCCCCCCGC